TGGGAAAATACCCGAACAAAGCTGAATACCATACATGTAAGTACCCGCGAAAACTTAAGAAAACATACATACACACACACATACACACATATATTTGTGTATACGTATGTAAAATTATGTGTATTAAATATCACTCCCACCTTGTTTCTAAGACCGAAGGATTTTACAGATATTGGAGTTGAGTGACAGGATTCTTACTATCGATAGTTGCCTCTGAGATGGGGGAAATGTAAATACTTTGGGGGGTCCTTGGTGCTCCCTGAGCTTGGTTATTTTCTTTAAGAAGTTTCATTACCCAAATGAGGTGACGACATCAGTGCTAGAGCAAACCCCATTCCTTACTAGCCCTGGTAATGTTAAACTAATTTAGGCAAGGAAAACAACCAAGCTCAAAGAGCATTGAAGAACCCATGTTTCAACCCTGAGCTACAAATGCTTTCCTTTACGGAGAGACATTTCCTAGTGAAAATGTTGGCTTGCAGCATTCCGGAGAACTCCAGAGTGTTTCATTTGGTGGACATGCTGGCTGAGGTTGATGGGACTTGAGGTCCAAACCGCCAAGAAGGCATTGTGTTGATTTTCTTTTTTTATGGACAATTCCCTATTGATACTCAACCCACAATGGCCACTCATTTTCCTTAAATTATTTCCTCATATTGTAGAGATCTCTCAATCAGCCTATGTTATGTGAGTCTACAGCACTTGGAACTCAGCAATGGAATGCGAGAACAGAATCCATTAAGATGTATATTTCCTAGAAGATATACTACGATCATTCCTTTTCTGATCACACATCTCTGGTGGCCTTGATTTTGCAGTGGAAGAAGACCTCCCGGCTCTATTCCGAGTCAGTCTTGCATTTCTTCCTACAAAAAGCTGATTTATATATTGCAGCTCCTCTAGTTTAGACTGCCCTAAATAGTTGTGTGCAGAAGCAGCTCAATTCCAAGGAGAAACCTCCCACCCACAATAAAGAACTGCTGGGAGCTAAAGCAGAAAATCAAGGAAAGGAATTTTGTTCAGGAGAGCAACACATGTAATGGTTACAAAAGGTTCTAGACTCACTCTCTTACTAGGGCAATTGGAAAGGATCACTTGTAATCCTTAAAAAGCTGCTCCAGGCAGTGCTAAACTAGACTGACAAATCAAATAAATACTAAAAAAAATACTAAATCTTGCTAGGTCAAGCTAAGAACTCATTTAGTCCATGGTAGGAAATTTAGTAATAGACAGTTAGTCCAAACTAGACATAGTAGACAATCGTTGGACATTCAGGAAGCCCACAAATGTCAGCAAGATAAACAAGATTGTCTTTCTTGATATAAGTAAGTTCTCACATTCCCCTTATTGTTGATAACCTTCCCCTGCCTATTATCTTCCATATATTTTGGACACAGGGCTCATCATCTCTAGCCATTGCCTGAAGATGTTTGGTAAGGTGGGGGTGACTAAGGAGGTATAGGCAGGTTGGGGATGCTACATAAAACAAAGATTATATTCAGGTGGAAAGAAACAATGTCTATTACTGTCCTTGTCCCTCTTTCACTGATTAGCTCTAAAGATCTGTAGCAAATTTTATTTGTAACAGCAGGGTTTCTTAAATCAAAAATATGGATGTGCGATGTCCAATATATGATGTGCGTACTTTACAATTGCAATATTCATGTGATTGTATCAACCCAAGAGTGGAAAAGAGAGTCATAAATGATTTGACTATACATATATAATATGCTCTACAGTTCCTCTAAAAGACAATTACATAAAGCAATGATCCCTCTTTGTTGCTTGGATTGCAAATAGCATTTAGGAGCAATGGACCAACTGGAGGGACAATGCAAAGCCAGTTGCTGAAGTCTTCTTTTCTTGGTGTTGGAAAGGATGATCTCAGGAGACTCTAAGATAGACAGGGATAAATTACTGTGTTGGACATGAAGAAGTCCGTACAAGTCATCTGACAGATTAATAGCTGGTAAATTATAAATATAGACAATAGACCTCAATTAAGAGGTAGGTATGGCATCTTATAGAAATTTCAGGGTGGGGAGAAATGTTAAGTGTTGCTTCTTATGTAGTTGTCCTTGCAACGACAATTTCATAAATTATATGGTTTAATTTAGGAAAGGAAAAGGGTAACCCAATGAGGAACATCTCCTCACACTGCAGCAGGTGACAGTGATGAATAATATCTTCCAAGATTGAACAGTAACATTTCCATTTTGTGACCAAAACCGTATTCTGTTTTTACATCCGATTATCCTATAACTGCATAGAGATAAAACTACCATAGTCAACACTCAGCATAATGTAATAGGAATCCTGCTGGAGAAATGATGAAGAAAGGGCATTCTCATCCCCAGACTGGCCATCTCATCCCTAAATAAGTTCAGGGATGATGAAAGGATATTTGCAGAGCCATCTAATATCTAGTCCTTTTTGGTGGCATCATGTTGTTCCCAAGAGGTAGAGTTTCTTTAAGGGATGTGGTGGCTCAGTGGCTAAGACGCTGAGCTTGTCGATTAGAAAGGTTGGCAGTTCAGCAGTTTGAATCTCTAGCACTGCTTAACAGAGTGAGCTCCCGTTACTTGTCCCAGCTTCTCCCAACCTAGCAGTTTGAAAGCATGTAAAAAAGTGCAAGTAGAAAAATAGGGACCACTTTGGTGGGAAGGTCACAGTGTTCCGTGCGCCTTCGGCGTTTAGTCATGCTGGCCACAGGATCATGGAAACATATTTGGACACCACTGTTATAGTTTTGTAACGGAGATGAGCACCGTCTTCTAGAGCCAGAAATGACCAGCACATATGTGCAAGGGGAGCCTTTACCTTTAGAGTTTCTTTCTGGAGTCATAAGACATTTTTTATTGTTTATCTTCTCTTTGTCCCTCTCCTGCAGATGTTTATGATGTGACATTAATTAAGAGACTTCTTGTAAAATTGCAAAAATTGAGTCTTCTGCTTTTCTAATTCCATCTCTGATCTGTAGTCAAGCCATATTTTCTTACGGGCCATTTAATAAATAAAAAGAAATGAGATGAACAGATTAAAGCATAAAATTAGATACTCCAGAACAAAGAAACCAGCAAATTAATGTGGAGATTTCTCCCTCAACCTATTTATCAGAGCCCTGGAGTTCTTGATGGATAATTTCCACATGCCATTAACAGCTGTGAAATTGGTGTCATTCTTAAAGGTTAAAATAAAAAACCAACTTCTCAGCTGAGCTGCTAAATATTTCTTGGTCATGTCCCCAAGTCCTGAATCAGTAATATTCTGTCCTCCTTTTATGTAAGTATATGGTTTTAAGATGATGGTAGCACAGATACTGCCTTCTGCATAATTTTTCCAAAATTATTTTTCTCAATTTTGGGGGGAGGGGGAACACTAATGGATGTTGTAATTTCTCCCTTTCTTTTCTTTTCCTCTATAGAAAATTAGGCAGGATCTCTTCTGAAACATTTCCCAGAGGTCCCCTCATTCTGTAGAATGAAATATTCTTTCCATGTTGGTCTTCCAATGTTCCTCTTTCTCCTATTCCCCCAAGGACATTCCCCCCATACCATCACACTTTCGATATAAGGGTCTTTTTTTTGAGGAGGGGCTTTGTATGTCTAGTCTGATGAAAAGAAGGACTAGGGGAGACCTGATAGCAGGGTTCCAATATCTCAGGGGCTGCCACAAAGAAGAGGGAGTCAAGCCATTCTCCAAAGCCCCTGAGGGCAGGACAAGAAGCAATGGGTGGAAACGAATCAAGGAGAGAAGCAACCTAGAACTAAGGAGGAA